TTCAAGTTCCAAAACAAGCAAAAATACCTGAAATGCGGAACATTGAATGAGTTTAAGATTGCGAACTTGAAATTATTCATGTGTCAGAGATTTCATTCTTTTAATTCTGGGATACTGGCACTTTGAGAAATTTTCAAGATCTTCGTTTTCAAGCTCGAAATTTTAATGCTTTGATTTTTAGGAGATCTTCTTTAGGCAAATGATAATGGTTTTGACGACAGAGCTACATCACGGCAAGATTTGAGATGGTTCTATTATTTTGAAATGTACCGTTTTGTTTCAAGTACTCAACATCACTCAGGTTAACTTTGACATAACGTTATGTTTATTAATATTGCATTTCCAGATTTCAAATCCAATATAATAGTTTCAAGATAAGCATCTTAATCAGTCTGTAATGGTAATTTCAAAATATGTTGCTATTTATAATTATAAAAAACTGGATAAAACTGGATAAATTTTCTACAACTGGAAAATTTCAAACGTTTGACTGGATAGCGTGATTACCTCTCACCCCAGAAGGCCTGGGTTCAATCCCAGTCGGCGCCACCGGGATGTTCTGAGGCATAACATCTCTGATCACGCCTTCCTTCGGAAGGGAAGTAAAGCCGTTGGTCCCCGGTTCATGAGTTTATGGGTCGATAGGTAGGGTCCAGGTGTGGGAGCTGCCTCCCTGGCGTCGGTAGCATTGGTGCTCAACACGGAAAACAAGATCGACGGAAAACAAATTAAGGAAAAAAACGTTTGACTGGATGCGTCCAATATAAACTGGAAGAATCCAGTTTAACCTGAAATGTTGGCATCACTGCCTGACACTGTAAAATATGTCTGGTACCTCTATGTATGCATTTTGATTCACATCCAAAGTCCCTCCTTTCAATGCTTCCTAAACTACAATCAGAGAAAAGAGGGAAATGCTGTTAGGATCGGGGCTTACGAAATCTTTTTTGTGTTGAGAACGCTCATAAAGAGGAACTTTGGATATGACCCAAGATGAAAAGAGCCCCTTTAAAAGGTGGGAACAATGATATCAATATCAGTTCAGGCCCTGATTGGTAAAAAAAAACAAAATTGAGGCCCTGAACAGAGTGAAAGTGTTTATCAGTTTATCGAAGTAATATCCTCAGTGGTTGTCTCCTCAGCAACTTCTGTGGTCGTTATCGTTGTTTCCGAATCATATAGCATCATTATCGTTTTCCAAGGCTTGTTTTAGACCCTCGATTAACAACCTCAATTGAGAGACAGCGAAGTACAAATACAGTTCCAATATTGACATTTTCCCCCCTTTTTAAAGGTTGTTTACTCACCCTTTTGCTGCCGATCTGTTCTTCATCCGGTTGTTGCTTTTCAAAGTCCATTTGTTGCTAATCATGCTGCTTATGGTCCTTCAACTTATGGCAGGAATTCATCCGATGACCCTTCATATTACACAAGAAACACTTGTTTTTGATTCCGTCATAAAAAATTCCCCTTGCAGGAAGGAAATGCAACGAAGAGGGAATTTTAATTTTCACTTCCATATACACACCTCGTACACCGGTGTGCTTAAGGCTTCCCTTAGCCCAGTTGGTAAAGGCGCAGCTATAAAGCAAGACCATGCTGGAGGTGGCTGGGTTCGATTCCCGGTCTGGTCTAGGATTTTTTCAGGTTGGAAAATTTCTCGACTTCCCTGGGCATAGAGTAGGAGTATGATGAATATGAGTAATTGCCACACGATTATACTAATGCAAAAATGGTGCTGGCTTAAAAAGTTCTCAATTAACAACTGTAACCGTGAAAGAGCTCAAAGAACAATAAGGTAAATGTCGGCGAAAAGACCCATGAGAACGCAATAAAAACAAAGAAGAAGAAGAACACCGGTGTGCCAAACCGAGAATCTCCCCTCGACGACACTCTTAAGGTGAAAGTGGATCGGTTCAGAATGACTCACTTTCATCATTTTTTTTTTACAAAATAACGCAAAGCTCAATCGAAAAAAAAACTCTTCCGTGCAAAATTAAAGAACTAAAATGAATATCTCTAGCATTTTTTTATAAGATTGATTTATTGAAAAAAAAGCCACACGATCCATGAATGACTAGTAAGAAAAACCATCAGCACCGAGACCACGATCAAGCTTGCAAGTGACGTTTTTCATCCGCAATAATTGATGAATATTGTTATATATATTTTGGTATTTCAATTCAAAATATTCTGCAAAAATCATCTATAGTAGAATATTTTTAAAAATAATTAGATGCGATAGAGCTGGAATTAGGGCGTAATAGCTTCTGTAAACAATTACTTCTTTTAATGATTTCTAGAAAGTCAAGGCTCGCCAACGTAAATCAACATCACCATCTGGTAGGAGAATACATCCCCTATCCGACGGTAATGTTGGTTTGCGTGGACGTGCCTTGCATTTTTAGAAATCATTAAAAGAAGTCATTGTTTACAAAAGCTGTTACGCCCCAATTCCAGCTCTATCTAGAACTGAACTATTTTAAAAATCACCACCCTTTACCATAGCTAAATATTTTTTTTAAAGTCAAATTGATCCTTAATTTTCACAATTTGTTTCACAAGTATTTGAGGATAATCTGTAAAAATTTTAGCCTATTCTGATATATCTGGATTTTTTTTCCTTGGTTTGTTTTCCGTGCTGAGCACCAATGCTCCCACACCTGGACCCTACCTATCGACCCATCAACTCATGAACCGGGGACCAACGACTTTACTTCCCTTCCGAAGGAAGGCGTGATCAGAGATGTTATGCCTCAGAACATCCCGGTGGGATTGACCCAGGCGACTGGGATTGACCCAGTCCTGCTTGTACGCTTACCACTACACCACCGGTGCCGCTAATATATCTGGATATTTTAAAGATAATCAGATAAATTGAACTATTTTAGAAATCACTCATCTTTGCCATTGCTAAAGGAAATATTTGTTAAACCAAATTGATCCCTAATTTTCACAAGTTGTTTCACAAGTATTCGAGGATATTCTGTGAATGTTTCAGCCTATTTGATGGAGGTATTCTGATATACATATCTGGATATTTGTAAAGATCATTAGATAAATTGAACAATTTTAGGAATCACCAACCTTCACAAAAGATTCCTCAATATTCACAAGCTGTTCCACAAGTATTTGAGGATATTCTGAACTATTTTGGAAATCACGCACCGAAAGGAAATATTTTATAAACCAAATTGTAAATCCATCATTTTGAAACTCATTCGCCATCTTGGATCCACCATTGTGAAAATAAACCAACATCCAAGAACTGAAATGGCAGGACTTCCCTGAAGTTCAAAAGGAGTTCACTGGACTCTATGTGGGCTTCCCATAACTTCAGCAAACCTACCCTGAACTACGGCAGTACTTCCCTGAACTTCAGCAGGCCTTTCCTGAATATTGGCAGGCATTTCCTGAATATTGGCAGGACTTCCCTAAAGTTCGGAAAACTTCCCTGAACTTCGGCAGGCCTTCTCTGAACTTTGGCAGGAGTTCCCTGAACTCTATCTGGACTTCCCAAAACTTCATCAGACCTACCCTGAACTACGGCAGTACTTCCCTGAACTTCGGCAGGCCTTTCCTGAATATTGGCAGGCTTTTCCTGAATATTGGCAGGACTTCCCTAAAGTTCGGAAAACTTCCCTGAACTTCAGCAGCCCTTCTCTGAACTTCGGCAGGAGTTCCCTGAACTATATCTGAACTTCCCATAACTTCATCAAACCTACCCTGAACTTCGGCAGGACTTTATCGAAGTTCGGCAGGCCTTTCCTGAATATTGGCAGGACTCCCCTAAAGTTCGGAAAAACTCCCCTAACTTCGACAGGATTTTCCTGAACAACCGCAGGACTTCCCTGTCCTTCGACAATACTTCCCTGAACTTCGGAAATACTTTCCTGAACTTCGGCAGGACTTCCCTGAACTTCGGCAGGCCTTCTCTGAACTGCGAAAGGACTTTCCTGAACTTCAGCAGAACTTCCCTGAACTTTGGCAGGACTTCCCTGAAATTCGGTAGGACTCCCTGTCCTTCGGCAGGCCTTTCATGGACTTGGAATCTTGAAATTAAAGTAGTAGAATTATTATAATCCTACAATAATTTTACTATAATAATACAATATAATTATTTACGAATATGGTCAAAATTTCAATACTTCCAATTTTGCTAATTTGCAATGCTTGTTAACTTTCACCTTAAAAGCATTTCCTGGCCAAATAGTGAAATAAATTAAATTTCGGGCTAGACCTTCTCCGATTTGCATGAAACTTTGCAAAATTGTTTGTTATGGTCAATCATTCACATTTGGGCTAAAATGTGGCAAAATGGTGTATTCAATATGTTTCAACAAATCATAACTTGAAAACGTCACTTCCAATCGAAATGACGTCTGAGACAAGGAAAGTCAGAAAAAATTTCAAGTAATTTTGCGAAACAAATAAAAGTGTTTAAAACTTAAATAACAAAACATGACCCACTTTAATAGTTTTTGATTATTTTCCATTTAATAGCTTATGAAAAATAATATCTTTTGTGAAAATCTCAAGTTGTGCACATAACAATTAACAAACATTATAAAACAACTACCTTTTATCAAATTTATGAACAATTTGTTTAAACATTTATTTTTTTTATTTTGAGATGACGAGTTCGATCCCCGATCCCATCTTGAAAATCTTGCAATATTTTATTTAGTGAAAAATTTAATTAATATATATAAAATATATTCCAATTATTTGAGAAATATGTAAAACCTGTATATTTTCTAAAAATCTATAATCTGAATCGAAATATTGAAAAAAATCTGTATGATAACAGATAAACCAGTATGTGTGGCAGCACTGCCTGCTGCATCCAAAACAGTTGAGATCAAACTCAGTTTTGTAAACGAATTTGATTTATTTTGGCATCTATAAAAAGATATCCAACCTTATTTATTTCCCTCACCATACAGTCTCTCCGAACTTTCTAACCAAATCCCTACCCTTTCTAATGTTCTCCCTCACAGTTGAAGCAAAGGAGGCGCCTAAGGGCTACGACGATGAAGACATCCCAGCTGCTGCCCCCGCCAAGTCCGCCAAGGCCCCAGCAATCGGTAAAATTGCAGATAATGTTGTTTTTGCTTTAACGAAACGTAATTTAAACCATTAATCTTCTTTGTTCTTATCTTATTCTATTTCTTCCCCCCACTCTCTATCTATGTCTGTCATTGCTGTACACTCTACCCCTGATATTATTCTATTTATCTAATATTAACGATCATCGATTTTTATCTCACCTTCGGGTTTCTCTCTCAATAAACTGATTCATGTTTAACCATCCAAATAACCTCACTCTTTTTCTTCTCCCCAAATCTCTACTGGACCACATCACGCCCATGTTGAAACATTTTCTTCTTTTTCTTTCATCCTTTTCTCTTTTTTTTCGTCTCTCCCTCTCCAAACTTCGTTCCTTCTCTTTTCCTTTTCCTCTGCGAAACACAACTTATCCAATTCCAGTCCCGAAGGGGCGCCGTTTCGGTCCGATCCGAAAGGATCCCGAGCAGAGCGCAGCGCAATCGGAACAGAACGAACAGAGCAACGGCGATAACAATGCAGCCAAGTCGCTGTCTAGCCGCCTGGGACGGTCTCGGTTTGCGCTGAACAAGGCACAGCAGTAGGACGACGAGGAGGACGGAGTAGAATGAGTGAATGCGAGCAGTTTTATGTTTAGGTTTAAAAAAAAAGAACTATGTTTTAGTTTTACTTTCTTTTGGAAACTACATTTACAAGAATTAATGACGGTGCATTTGGAGTGAGAAAAAATATGTTATTCAAGGAGATTTAATCAAGCAAAATGAGAAAAGAAGCACTGCCTACTGCAATGAATAATGTATGTGAAAAAAAATAAGATGACCCATGGTATATCAAAATAGTTGAGCTAGTAAACTTAAAATACAAAATGATTGCCATGCGGTAGTGGTATGTTCTATATCGCAGCAGATTGTAAGATAATAGTTTGAAATAAAGAAAAATGAAAAATTACATAATTCCCTTTGCAATCAATTTTTAAGCAAAATCCTACACAACAAGTTTTTAGTTATTTGCGGAGAAGACTTTTGGACAATATTAGGCGAAATTTTTAAGTTATTTTCGTACAGTACTGAACATTGTCCCCACTAGTCACTCTCCGGAATCCTTCCGTCAGTCACTTGTATTTCAAGATACACAAATTTGTCCACCACTTTTATTTTATGAGCCTGAGCATGAGCATGATTGACCACTCGCGGATGCTACTCCGTTATTGCCAGATCAGCTGTAATTACACAGAGAACCAGTAGACAATGCCTATTGCATGTAAGAGGTGTCTGATAACAAGGTGTAACAAGGGTAAGGTGGGCAATATGAGTCACGGAGCAAGATGGGCCAGCTAGTACATTTATTAATTTATTTGTTTGTCAATATCAACATGATCAATGCAACCCTAATGATGGTTGAAATGAGTTTATCATGTGCTAATTCAAGCTGAACATTGCATTAGATCCTAAGTAACATTGATCGGTTCTCTTCGTCGACTTTCTCTTTCGTTAATAACTTGAGCACATAACCGTTTCTTGTTGTGTTTGTCGTATTAGATGCAAAATAAAAGCGTCTTTTATCGATCTGTGTGTTGAAAATACCTGGGTATGTCTTAACGTGGCCGTGGGGATACAAAGAGAAAGTCGGCGAAGAGAATCTGTCAATGTTACTTAGGACCTAATGCAATGTTCAGCTTGAATTTTGAGCTCTCTTTGTGCTATTTTTGTACGCTCCTACTCAAATTTTTTCCTTGATTTGTTTTCCGTCGATCTTGTTTTCCGTGCTGAGCACCAATGCTACCGACTTACTTACTTACTTACTTACTTACTTACTTACTTACTTACTTACTTACTTACTTACTTACTTACTTACTTACTTACTTACTTACTTACTTACTTACTTACTTACTTACTTACTTACTTACTTACTTACTTACTTACTTACTTACTTACTTACTTACTTACTTACTTACTTACTTACTTACTTACTTACTTACTTACTTACTTACTTACTTACTTACTTACTTACTTACTTACTTACTTACTTACTTACTTACTTACTTACTTACTTACTTACTTACTTACTTACTTACTTACTTACTTACTTACTTACTTACTTACTTACTTACTTACTTACTTACTTACTTACTTACTTACTTACTTACTTACTTACTTACTTACTTACTTACTTACTTACTTACTTACTTACTTACTTACTTACTTACTTACTTACTTACTTACTTACTTACTTACTTACTTACTTACTTACTTACTTACTTACTTACTTACTTACTTACTTACTTACTTACTTACTTACTTACTTACTTACTTACTTACTTACTTACTTACTTACTTACTTACTTACTTACTTACTTACTTACTTACTTACTTACTTACTTACTTACTTACTTACTTACTTACTTACTTACTTACTTACTTACTTACTTACTTACTTACTTACTTACTTACTTACTTACTTACTTACTTACTTACTTACTTACTTACTTACTTACTTACTTACTTACTTACTTACTTACTTACTTACTTACTTACTTACTTACTTACTTACTTACTTACTTACTTACTTACTTACTTACTTACTTACTTACTTACTTACTTACTTACTTACTTACTTACTTACTTACTTACTTACTTACTTACTTACTTACTTACTTACTTACTTACTTACTTACTTACTTACTTACTTACTTACTTACTTACTTACTTACTTACTTACTTACTTACTTACTTACTTACTTACTTACTTACTTACTTACTTACTTACTTACTTACTTACTTACTTACTTACTTACTTACTTACTTACTTACTTACTTACTTACTTACTTACTTACTTACTTACTTACTTACTTACTTACTTACTTACTTACTTACTTACTTACTTACTTACTTACTTACTTACTTACTTACTTACTTACTTACTTACTTACTTACTTACTTACTTACTTACTTACTTACTTACTTACTTACTTACTTACTTACTTACTTACTTACTTACTTACTTACTTACTTACTTACTTACTTACTTACTTACTTACTTACTTACTTACTTACTTACTTACTTACTTACTTACTTACTTACTTACTTACTTACTTACTTACTTACTTACTTACTTACTTACTTACTTACTTACTTACTTACTTACTTACTTACTTACTTACTTACTTACTTACTTACTTACTTACTTACTTACTTACTTACTTACTTACTTACTTACTTACTTACTTACTTACTTACTTACTTACTTACTTACTTACTTACTTACTTACTTACTTACTTACTTACTTACTTACTTACTTACTTACTTACTTACTTACTTACTTACTTACTCGTACAGACTACTCTACCAATTCTTATTCCTATTTATACAAACATTCTTAGAAATCGTACGCCGCTGAAGGCTAGAGTTTAGTATTTAAGTGGTTCAGAGTTTACACTACCTAGCGATTCTGAATAGTTTACTAAGAAATATCTAGGGGTATTCACTATGCAAATCGTAACGATGTACACTAGGGTGGTGGAAGATAATTATGCTTTAAGGGGGTATTCCCAATCTTTTGCCTTTTTTCGGCCTGTTTTTCAATTAATTTTTTTTTTCAAGGAAAATGAATAGTAATCCGCCTAACTCTTTGGGATTCTTGTTTATTGAACATTAAAGTTTACAAATAAATTTTTTTCGACATAAAAAAAGACATTATTGACGTCACAAAATGGCGGCAAACAGACCCCTGTTCGCCGCAAACGCCTGGACGGGTGAAGACTTTTCTCTGGAACGGCTTAATCTGAAACAGATTTCGTGATGAAATTAATAATCTGCATAAGATTCTCTGGAGCTTCTCCCGTTGGCAGCAAAAAATCTTGCAAATTAACAAAATGGCGGCCAAATGAAAAAACAGGCTATTTTTAGCCCGCTTTTTTGCAGCTTTAAGGTGCTTCAAACAATGGTAAATGTTAATATTTTTGGCTGAAAGTGGGAGAAGCTCCAAAGAATTTAATAAGGAACAAAATGCGCAAAGATTCAAGTCAATATCTCTTATAGTTTCTGAGAAAAATCTTCGCCCGATAAAAAAAATGTGGTTTCGAGAAAAACGCGTTTAAAGTTTTGACTTTAGTTAAAACCAACTTTAGTTAAAACCATTTGGGGGTTCTTACCATTAGTCAGCTATGCCTGGACACCGAATTCGCTGATCGGAAAACGGCTTGGGGGGATGAAAGTATATAGTCTAAAGTACAAAAAAACGTGAAAAAAAAAATTTGGATGTTTTGAAAAAAAAGATCGGGAATACCCCCTTAAGGATACAAGGTACACACTGGTGTAAGATACTTAGAAATCCATTTTATGATATTTATTTCTTTTCATGAACTTTAGAATCATGCTGCAACCGTTTTAGATTTAACTGAAAGCTCTCAAGACCATATCCAAAACCCTCAGTACTTACCCTCTACGAAGGCTTCAAAGATCACCTAAACTTGTTTCGGACCTCCAGAAACATCTGGACTTGACTAAACCATTATCTGCACAACCCTCAAGCTTCCCATTTCACCACACTTATAGCGAATCTGTTTTTGATTCAGTTCCAACCTGGATCGGGTATCAACATTTCACGGCGAATGAGAACGACCCAAATTTGAGTTTAGTTCACTCACAATCGCCAAAAGTGCAGGAACTCAGCGATGAGTGAATTTGCCTCATGTTTTCCCAGGTTTTTCCAGGATTTTCCAGGGGAAAAAATCCCGAATTTGAGCAAAGTAAAGATTGGATTCACTCAGTCTGTTGGTACTACTCCGAGACTGAATAAAACTTTCGTCAATTTCGTCCATTGCTACAATGGAAGCGCCCTGACCCTCGTTGGAGAATCTGCCATACAAGTAAACCACTGGAAGCGGCTCCCGTTCTGGTAGAGGAGGCTTATTGGATAAAATGTTTAATGTGTTGTACCTTTTGACTATAGTTTTAAGATTTATTGTATAGTGAACAAGAATCCTCGGCTCTGTAAAGTTAATTCGGTGGAGCCTTATCAAATAAATTAATAATAATAATAAGCATTCGCCTGCAAACATGTTTCCTGCTGTTCAGGAACTAGATAAAAAGTTCTTTTATAGAACAATGAGGTTAATCATGTGAAACCGGAATCCGTACTCATAAGAATTTCATCGAAATCCGTACACCATATACAAAACGCATACCTTTTGTATGAGGTGTACGGATTTCGATACAGCACGGATTTTTGTCCCACACGGTACGTGGTGATTCAAAGAAAAAAATCGATGAACAGAATCGATCAATTCTCGCGCAGCACGAGAAAAGGGCCTATCATTGTTGATCGATTCTCTTCATCGATTTTCTCTGTCGCGAATATCCCAACTGCAAATTAATTTCCCATTGAGTGTGTTGTCCAACTGTGCTGCGAGCTTAGCGAGAAATTCGTTTATGTTGCGGTGGTAAACCAAAGAGAAAGTCGATGAAGAGAATCGATCAACGAGGATAGGCCCTTTTCAAATGTTACGTGAGAATTTACAATTTTGTCAAGAGCTCTATGTAAATTTAGGTCAAATTTAACAAAAAAACATCGCATATTTTGAATTCAGGCTTGCAATTGCTCATTACAGCTAAAATGCTATTTTTCGTTATTATGAAACAAAGGTGGTAAAGTTTGCATATGACGTGTAAATTTTGTCAATTTTGCTTTCAGAAGGTCACAACTAGCGATTTTATGATCGCTGATTGCTCGCTCATCGTTACAGATAATCGCTATGGTGACCCTCTGAAAGCTAAATTGACATGTTTTATGTGTCATACACACACTTTATCTTCTGTTCGTGCATCTTGTAAATAAGAATTATCATTAAAATATTTCATAGCTTCATAAATCCGAAAAATAGCATTTTAGCTGTAATGAGCATTTGCAAGCTTGTTTGAATTACGCGCCCAAATTGATCCCTG